TTACGCCTTCAGCAGGCTCAACATATACTGTCAACGTGAGCATCGATCCACGGCGTTGCAGTACGAAGGGACAACAAAGTAACCACGTTCTGGCAGAGATCTGATCGTTCCAGGTGGTTACCAAGTACTACTAGCTTATACATCAATGGCCACCCGATACTTCTTTCAGCCGCCGTATGCCAGCAATGGTATTGGTGCCCTATATACATATGATCAAACGGTGAGTTTTCAAATATTCAATTTTTTATATTTCGAATGGATTTCCTGATAAAATATCTCTTAATCTACGTCTCAGATTGGTCCAGTCGTTTCCAAAGGGCGGTAAAGACACTATCCACTGAATAAGTCAATGTGACATGCAATCATTTATTCAACTGCATGGATGTTGACTGTGTGTTCAATCAAAACCTGTTGAAAACTTATCGTAGAAACTTAAAAACACAACGAATTTGGCGAATCTCGAAAGATCCGTAGCCATAACGGAAGGGAGGTAACTCTAAATTTGTTCCTTTCCTATTTCGACAAAATCTGCAGTGCTGTGTTTGAAGTTGAGGAAACATTTTCTTCAGCAATATCATACATGGATTTCTGCTACGGGTAGTTTTAGGTTTTGTCTCTTTATCTGGAAAATATGAAGTAATTTAGATGTACCCTCAAATGGCTTAAACAGATTTTGTTTTGTTTTGTTTTTGTTTATGATTTTAAATCATTCTACCACTGTCCCTTATCCCTTATAATAATCCGTTACACCCACCTTGTAATTATCGTCTATGAAAAGATCTTAGCTGAGGTTATCGACTACAATACGATTTTAGCGCTACGATTGTTGCTAAAAAAACATCTTAGCATTACGATTGTCGTTCACGAAACGATCTAAGCGCTAGAATTATCTTCCACAAAACCATCTTAGCTCTACGATTGTTGTTCACGAAACGATCTTACCTCTGACATTTATCTTCTACACAACCATCTTAGCGCTACGATTGTCGTTCACGAAACGATCTTAGCGCTACTATTAACGATCTAATCGATACGACTGCAGTAACTCTCATACTTTAACATACACTTACGCCTATCCATAAACCGAGTTAGGCAGTCGTATCGCTATGGTCGCCAAGGCGAGACAGGCTAAACCCTGAGGACGCTGTGAAATGACTGGCAACTGAATGTTGCTCCCGGCCATGCTCCCAGTTCCAACAGTCCTCCCACCTGATATACGGCTTCGTCAACGTTACACTGTAACACGTAACTAAAGTACTCTACCATCCAGAAGATATGGTTGTGTATTCGTAGTTAGTTTGTGACCACACATTACATGTATGTGACACAGGGTAGCGTACGCGTGAATAAAGAAAGACGACCAACATATTTGCTGTTCTAGATTTGTAACCTACTGAAGAAATACGATGAAAACATCAATCCTCCCTCCATACTCAGTTTAGAAAACTAGCCTGAGCTTTTATTGACATCCACATTCTTGGTACGGTACAGGACCTCACCGCCGTTCTATGGTGGCCGAGAGGGGACATCGCTTTCTCGCTTTCTCGCTCTTGGGGGGGGGGGGGGGGGGGGGGGGGGGGGTGTTGAACTTTTCTCACTATTTACTTAAAACATAATTTAACTGTACAGTCGCAGGTGGTTTTAAAAACAGTTTTTTTAAGTTAAATGTAATTGATTGTTTTATGGCCCTATTTAGTTTTATGTGACCATCACGCCGAAACGTTTTTTTAGTAAAATGTAATTGATTGATTTACGGCCCTATTCAGTTGTATGTGACCATCACGCCGAAAACGCGTGGCGGATCATGGCAATACGCTCTAAATAAATCAGGTTAAAATCTAAATATATACTTTTCAAAAGAAGTTAAGATGCCTATGGTTAATAAGTCATGGCTGATTGTATTGCAAAATACAATCTTATAACTGTGGGTGTTCTATAACTTGTTTTCGGTAGCATATGATGCTACATACTGTCATACTGTTGTCCGTAAATATTCTTTTTCACATTTGATGTATGAGCAATTTGAATTGTGTCTCTTGTCTTATGCAAATGTACAAGTATGTGTACTTGCATATAGTAATTTGATAAACACCGCTGTGAGTGAGTGAGAATGGTTTTACTTCGCTTTTAACAATAATCCAGTACTATCACGACGAAGAACACCAGAAATGGGCTTCACACATTGTACCCATTTGCAGAATCGAACTGGGGCTTCGGTTTAATGTGTGTGTGCGTGCGTGCGTGCGTGCGTGCGTGTTTGTGTGTGTGTGTCTGACTCATTGTCTGAGTACATAGGTGGTGGATAACTACATAACTCACATCAGAACGCACAATTGTTAACGATACAGTTAATAGAAAGAGAATTGTTACATAATGATGTTTATTCCTGCTTGAGCCTTTACTCATGAGAAACGAGTTGTTTTCAAATAATATTTACATCGCATTTCACTTCTAATGGAATGAGGTTACGGGTTAATGACGCTCTCAAAAGTCGTATATGTTACTTAAGGAAGAGACATATATCTAATCGATCTGTATTTAGTAAGGGAAACATAACTGTGTACATGTATAACTTTTGTCCGCATAATGTACATGCATCTTTATCAATATAATTGTCTTCCCGAAATCGGACGAGCACACATTCGGCTTCAACTCCAAATCTGATGACCGACAAAATAATTCTTTGGACGTTGCAAACAATACAACCAGTGGCTGATAATACTGACAATTATTTGTCAATATATGATCTATATGTAAATCATTATTTGTTCCAGTTCAATGTGTGTGTGTGTAAACAAAATGAAAATATGAACAGCGACTATTCTGTTGTAGTCTAGGAATCTTGCTTACTTATTACAAGAGAATAAACATGTGTGTATACAAATTAAACGAGATAACATTATGGAAATCTATGTATGTGCAAGATGTTGAAAAAAATGTAATTATAAGAGGCAAAATAGCGGTGATAATTATAGGAATGGATCACTGAATATCAGCAAAAACCGTTATAATGTACGGCATTATGGGAAATATCGCTTTCTCGCTCTATCGCTCTCTCGCCTTCTCGCTCTCTCGCCTTCTCTAATGACTAACCATAGTCATATGAAAGAATCGGGTGTTCTTTAACTTCTTTTGAATAGTATGCACTGTAAATCTTGAAATTAACGTTAGGGTTAATTATAAATGCAAAAAAATGAGAGTAGACTTAATTAATTAAACTTTTCATCTATGTCTCAGAAATTACTGTTGATAAAACGGCCTTACTGCACACTTTGAATAGCGGAAATACCAACTTGAATATAAAACCAATCAACTATCTATTTCCACATTACGTGAGGACTTCCAGTTTGATGACATCTACTCCGCTAACAGAATAAACATTTTTATAACCTAAGTGTTGTTTTTAGGAAAACACTATTGTTTTTTTAGGAAGTACTCTACTCAGTGCTAATAAGCGGTGTTATTTGGTGTTTGTTTTGATAACTAGGCCTGGGGGCGGGGTGTCCAATAAAACTCCTAAATAGGGCAGTATTCAATCAAATATTTTTTTACGCAGCCCCTGGCCTGTGCCCCTGTGTGCCCCTGTGTGCCCCTGGCCTATGCCCCTGTGTGCCCCTGGCCTGTGCCCCTGTGTGCCCCTGTGTGCCCCTGTGTGTCCTGTGTGCCCCTGTGTGCCCCTGGCCTATACCCTGAGTGCCCCTGTCTGCCCCTGGCCTGTGCCCCTGTGTGCCCCTGGCCTATGCCCCTGTGTGCCCCTGACCTGTGCCCCTGGCCTGTGCCCCTGTGTGCCCCTGGCCTGTGCTCCTGTGTGCCCCTGGCCTATACCCCTGTGTGCCCCTGGCCTATGCCCCTGGCCTATGCCCCTGGCCTATGCCCCTGTGTGCCCCTTGCCTGTGCCCCTGTGTGCCCCTGGCCTGTGCCCCTGTGTGCCCCTGGCCTATGCCTCTGTGTGTCCCTTGCCTATGCCCCTGTGCGCTCCTGGCCTATGACCTTGTGTGCTCCTGGCCTATGCCCCTGTGTGCTCCTGGCCTGTGCCCCTGTGTGCCCCTGGCCTATGCCCCTGGCCTGTGGCCCTGTGTGCCCCTGGCCTATGCCCCTGATCTATGTCCCTTTGTGCTCCTGGCCTGTGCCCCTGTGTGCTCCTGGCCTGTGCCCCTGTGTGCCCCTGGCCTATTCCCCCGTGTTCCCCTGGCCTATGCCCCTGTGTGCCCCTGGCCTATGCCCCTGGTCTATGCCCCTGGCCTGTGCCCCTGTGTGCTCCTGGCCTGTGCCCATGTGTGCTCCTGGCCTATGCCCCTGTGTGCCCCTGGCCTATGCCCCTGGTCTATGACCCTTTGAGCCCCTGGCCTATGCCCCTGTTTGCCCCTGGCCTATGCCCCTGTGTGCCCTTGGCGTATGCCCCTGTGTGCTCCTGGCCTATGTCCCTGTGGTTCCCTGGCCTATACTCTGCGTGCGTGTCCCGGTCTATGCCCCTGTGTGCCCCTGGCCTATGCCCCTGTGTGCTCCTTGCCTATGTTCCTGTGGTACCCTGGCCTATACTCTGCGTGCGTGTCCCGGTCTATGCCCCTGTGTGCCCATGGCCTATGCCCCTGTGTGCCCATGGCCAATGCCCCTGGCCTGTGCCCCGTGTGCCCCTGGCCTATGCCCCTGTGTGCCCATGGCCTATGCTCCTGTGTGCCCCTGTGTGCCACTGTGTGCCCATGGCCTATGCCCCTGGCCTGTGCCCCTGGCCTATGCCCTTGTGTGCTCCTTGCCTATGCCCCTGTGTGCCCCTGTGTGCTCCTGGCCTACGCCCCTGTGGTACCTTGGCCTATGCCCCTGTGTGCCCCTGGCCTATGCCCCTGTGGTACCCTGGCCTATACTCTGCGTGCGTGTCCCGGCCTATGTCCCTGTGTGCCCCTGGCCTATGCCCCTGTGTGCCCCAGGTCTATGCCCCTGTGGTACCCTGGCCTATACTCTGCGTGCGTGTCCCGGCCTATGTCCCTGTGTGCCCCTGGCCTATGCCCCTGGGTGCCCCTGGCCTATGTCCCTGTGTGCTCCTGGCCTATGCCCCTGTGTGCTCCTGGCCTATGTCCCTGTGTGCTCCTGGCCTATGCCCCTGTGTGCCCCTGGCCTATGCCCCTGTGTGCCCCTGGCCTATGCCCCTGTGTGCCCCTGGCCTATGCCCCTGTGTGCCCCTGGCCTATGACCTTGTGTGCTCCTGGCCTATGCCCCTGTGTGCTCCTGGCCTGTGCCCCTGTGTGCCCCTGGCCTATGCCCCTGGCCTGTGGCCCTGTGTGCCCCTGGCCTATGCCCCTGATCTATGTCCCTTTGTGCTCCTGGCCTGTGCCCCTGTGTGCTCCTGGCCTGTGCCCCTGTGTGCCCCTGGCCTATTCCCCCGTGTTCCCCTGGCCTATGCCCCTGTGTGCCCCTGGCCTATGCCCCTGGTCTATGCCCCTGGCCTGTGCCCCTGTGTGCTCCTGGCCTGTGCCCATGTGTGCTCCTGGCCTATGCCCCTGTGTGCCCCTGGCCTATGCCCCTGGTCTATGACCCTTTGTGCCCCTGGCCTATGCCCCTGTTTGCCCCTGGCCTATGCCCCTGTGTGCCCTTGGCGTATGCCCCTGTGTGCTCCTGGCCTATGTCCCTGTGGTTCCCTGGCCTATACTCTGCGTGCGTGTCCCGGTCTATGCCCCTGTGTGCCCCTGGCCTATGCCCCTGTGTGCTCCTTGCCTATGTTCCTGTGGTACCCTGGCCTATACTCTGCGTGCGTGTCCCGGTCTATGCCCCTGTGTGCCCATGGCCTATGCCCCTGTGTGCCCATGGCCAATGCCCCTGGCCTGTGCCCCGTGTGCCCCTGGCCTATGCCCCTGTGTGCCCATGGCCTATGCTCCTGTGTGCCCCTGTGTGCCACTGTGTGCCCATGGCCTATGCCCCTGGCCTGTGCCCCTGGCCTATGCCCTTGTGTGCTCCTGGCCTATGCCCCTGTGTGCCCCTGTGTGCTCCTGGCCTACGCCCCTGTGGTACCTTGGCCTATGCCCCTGTGTGCCCCTGGCCTATGCCCCTGTGGTACCCTGGCCTATACTCTGCGTGCGTGTCCCGGCCTATGTCCCTGTGTGCCCCTGGCCTATGCCCCTGTGTGCCCCAGGTCTATGCCCCTGTGGTACCCTGGCCTATACTCTGCGTGCGTGTCCCGGCCTATGTCCCTGTGTGCCCCTGGCCTATGCCCCTGGGTGCCCCTGGCCTATGTCCCTGTGTGCTCCTGGCCTATGCCCCTGTGTGCCCCTGTGTGCCCCTGGCCTATGCCCCTGGGTGCCCCTGGCCTATGTCCCTGTGTGCTCCTGGCCTATGCCCCTGTGTGCTCCTGGCCTATGTCCCTGTGTGCTCCTGGCCTATGCCCCTGTGTGCCCCTGGCCTATGCCCCTGTGTGCCCCTGGCCTATGCCCCTGTGTGCCCCTGGCCTATGCCCCTGTGTGCCCCTGGCCTATGCCCCTGTGTGCCCCTGGCCTGTGCCCCTGTGTGCCCCTGGCCTATGTCCCTGTGTGCCCCTGGCCTGTGCCCCTGTGTGCCCCTGGCCTATGTCCCTGTGTACCCCTGGTCTATGCCCCTGTGGTACCCTGGCCTATGCCCTTGTGTGCCCCTGGCCTATGCCCCTGTGTGCTCCTGGCCTGAGCCCCTGTGTGCTCCTGGCCTGAACCCCTGTGTGCCCATGGCCTGTGCCCCTGTGTGCTCCTGGCCTACGCCCCTGTGGTACCTTGGCATATGCCCCTGTGGTACCCTGGCCTATACCCCTATGTGCCTCTGGCCTGTGCCCCTTCGTGTCCCTTGACTCTGCCCCTGTGTGTCCCTGGTATGTTCCCTAATAGTCCCATATGTGCCCATGACTACCTCTGGTTTGTCATGTAGGTGAAGTGCATAGAGGGTGTACTCAGTGTTCCTCTAATTCACTCTCAGTCTAAAATCTCCCTAAGATCGATAATCTTTTTAGTGAAAACTGCATATCATTATCTGAAAATTGTCTAAACATCGCGTCCATGTAGAACTCATGTAAATTGAAAATAATAAGATTGTATTCTTCGTTCAGGCAATAAATAATCCTTCGCTCGTAGATTGAGAAATTCTTGAAATATTCATGTTCACAGCTGCTCCACTATATATGTGGCCTCAACTCGTTCACCTAATTTGCTCCCCAGCCACGCAACATGACCCAGCGTGACGTCACTGATATTGCGAAATCGTATTTCAGCTGATAGCTATTTCACAACTGGGTCATATTCCGCATGGAGATTTGGGTCTGCAGTTGCGTCAGTTCGCCCTAATTAATTTATATTTCTCAAATAAAAAGAATCGTATTTGCTTTTATACTCAATGACAACTACTGGAGACTTTTATATCTCAATCCAGGTCCTCAACAGCACATGAGTGAGTGAGTGAGTGAGTGAGTGCCTGATTGATTGATTGATTGATTGAGTGAGTGAGGGAGGGAGTGAGTGGAACTCGAAGTTATGCGAACCATCGTAAATATATGGGTTATCAGTAGTTCTAGAAAGACAGAATCATTAGACTATAAAGCCGATTTTGATTCTGCTGCGACTAGACATTTATATTGTCGGTGTCGAGTCAATGGAGTTTCACCACCTCTATCTACAATCTCTACCTAACACAAAGTGCGTGTTTGTCGAAGATCAGCGCATGCCATACTGTAAACGTGAAATATACTCTAACACACGTCGGAAGGGTATGAAATGGCTAGAACTGTATCGTAATGTATGATATATGCACATTGTCCATTTAATGTTTCTGATAGTCATAAAAGGGTTTATTTGGAATTATTTCTCACATTAATACATTCTTTGCTGTCCTTAAAGGATTGAAACGTTGCTTGTCAAAATAAAAAATAAAATAAAAAATATAATTGCAATCATTGTAAGGACAAATCAAAGGACAGCCTCCGTGGTCTGGTGAACAGAACGTTTGTCCGGAGAGCGGAAGGTCGGTGGTTCGATCCCCGGCCGCGTCATTCCAACATACCTTAAAATATAGTACTTGTTGTTTCCCTGCGTGGTGCATAAACTAAGAACTTGTCGGCTCGCGTGTCAATATTTGAGTTGGTATCCATGTTAAAATAATATCTCAGATGGATAGCATTATAAAACCGGCATTAGTTCGGACCAGAACAAGCAAGCACACACACACACACACACACACACACACACACACACACACACACACACACACACACACACACACACACACACACACACACTTGGTTCACTCTGGATGCGGTTAGCGTAGCATAGATATTTGGGATCATTTCGGTTTACATTGTCTTCTAGCGTGTCAGGTGTTTGATAAGCACTCGACCTAATTCCCCTTACTCACTGGGTCAATGTATTGACTGGATTATCGTGTCACTTCTTCCGGGAGTGTCGACCACGTGGAACTGAAAACAGCTGTTGATGGGACTGCTACGTGACTCTGGTCTGGCCCGGTCCGCTTGGCAGTTCGCCGGTACATACTGGTGACTGGGTTCTCGTCTGTAGATCTGCAATACCGGGCAGATGGGTCGAGGTTGGAACACAGTATTAATTACTTCACGGCGCGTTAACGTAATCTGGGCGAAAGACCAATGCACTCACCAATATTCCAGCGATATGAAGGCGGTTTGTTAATAAATGAGTCTGGATCAGACAATCCTTTAATACACATCATGAGCATCGATCTACGTAACTGGGATACGATGGCATCTATCAACCAAGTCAGCGAGCCTGACCACCCGTTCCCGTTAGTCGCCTCTTACGGCAAGCATGGATTGCTGAAGACCAATTCTAACCCGGATCTGAACGGGTAGCTACGTTAGTGAATATTAACCCAAAAGCACAGTAGTGGTTTACATAGACAAATATTCAAAATCGAGGAGATTTGAACATCGGATCCTGCAACAAAGGGAGGTAATCCTGCACCGCGAATTGTGGGGTTCCTTACCTTTGGGCTTGCTGATATAAATACCATGCATCAAACATTGTAATACATTAAAACTGGAACATCAATCAACGATATACGATTCTATGAGGTACGGAAAACAAATTTCGAAATGTAATATTTACTTCCAGGTACTGCGAGAAGATCTTTCACTCAGTATCCGGAAGTAAAGCAGCATCATAGGCGATATCCATCATTATGTAGAACAATGTAGTCAATATATGGCTGAAATGCTGCCGACAGAACTTTAAATTTCACCTCACACAGAAGGTATCTCACAATAAATGGCATAGGGAAAATACGGAAATTATTTCAGGTTAGAAAGTACCTGTCTTCTAATCACCCATACTATTGGCGTTCAGACATTCACAAAAAGACAAGCTAACCATTTGTTAATCGGATATGTCACATACATTTATTAAAATAATAGTTAAGGGATCATATTGTTCTACTGCAATGGTCAATTTTGATTCAGTTAGCAAGTTATGGAGTTCTGGCACTACATAGGTAGTGCTTACAGGGGCGATCTTTTTTTAAAATATTTCCATATTTTTAAAAATATTTCCTTATTATATATTGCGTTGTTCAAATATGAGATACACGTGTATAAAATAAGCTTTGTTTTGAATCGGAAGGTCAGACTCGATGACTTGGTTGATTGTATGTCATCGTATCACAATGGCGTGGATCGATACTCATGATGTCGATCACTGGATTATCTGGCCTAGTCTTGATTATTTACTGTCGTCGTAAACACCAAACAAAACGCACAAACAAATCATAACGTTTTCTAAACGTTTTTGCTATATCTTTAAACATTCTCACCTATTGGCATATCATTCTCATATATCGTCTTTGTTTGATCCCCAGACAAAGCATTACCGTCTGTCAGAGTACACAAGCCCGATATATGAAGTGCTTCGCTCTTTGGCAGGGTCACAGTCGTTACACAGTCCCGGCGATTGTACAGAGGGGCCCACTTGGTAGACTTAGGGTCACAAACATACCCAGCATAATTGTTTCGATATTTGATTCCCCTGTGTCGGCACAAATCATTCTGGTAACTCAAGTTGTATTGTATATGAATAATGTATTGATCGAAGGAATGCCAGAGGTGACAGCTAGACTTATATTAAGTATACTGGTCGTAAGTAACGGCCTCGACTGGCTATGCCGTACATGGCTCAATGTGGTATTATTGTCAGATGGGAATTCGATACCACAATATTTCTGGAAACAGCGCTACTGCTCCATGACTTCCAGTGACATGAAAGTTACAGAGATGGAGATGCATGATTTCTTTTCTTTTCTTTAAAAAATAATTTGTTTCAGAACATTCTTGAAAATTGTTTTTGTCTAAGGTTTTACCAAAATAAGATTTTGTTCACCGTTGACTTCGGCACGCTATGACGGAGGTTCTGAAAACAAACATATGTTGTGGTCCGCTTTAAAGTGTTTTTTGGCAGTAGTGTTGCATGAGCGTAATTATGTCTGTATTATGTTAATTATTACAGGAAGTAACTTTATATTCTACATATATTTCTCTCAAATTATTATGAATTATATGACTATGTTCAATACCTGCTTAATTACATTTTATTATCGCTACACATGTTAATAATTTGCACTGATCGTAGAGGAGAATCAGTAATGTATAAGGTATTCGCGACTTGTCTGTGGTGATATAACAAGTCCGACTTGTTCAGGTTATTGTACATAGGCTTGGGTTTTCTGAAGTCTTGAAATTATGGGATTTGATTCAACTCACAAACGAACTTTTTTATCATTATCGCTCTGATTATGTTTCTTGTTTTATTAGCATAGTGCTCGTGGGTTTCTCTTAAGTAGAAAACGTCGAAGACATAAGCACTTCGGGTTTTCCTCCCAAGTTAAACTGACACATCGTTATATACGTGAGATACTGTTCAAAGTGGTTCAATACACTTTCAATATTAAGATTAGGAACACGTCGCGATTAAGTTTGAGCTCTCCTAGCGGTAACTTCTTGGTGTAAGACAGGTGAAATCATATATTCCTAAATTCACAGCGTTTACCGGCAAATTATTAATTAAAATGTATGACTTATGTAATGCAAATGCAATGACAAAAAATATGTCTTACGTGAAACTACGAGTTTTCGTAATTCGGACAGGAGCTGCGTTTTTTTACATGCAGGAGAACACAACTTTATTGTAGTGATAAACATACGCTGATATACATACCAGTACGAAGATGGTGGCAACATCACAGCGGGTGCAGCGGATTCCACAATCATTCCGCAAATTTCGTAAAGGTTTCCAGAATTGCTCTGTGATAAAGAGGTAATTAGTTGTGATCAGTAGTGTGTGGGACATACGTACATGTACGCTGAAGATCTGGTCTATATTTATCCCACCTAGTAAATCAGAAAACTAGGCCGTGATAATCTTATGAGACAGTATATAAGTACACATGTATTTAAGCTATCAAGTGCGCTCTTAACTGTAGGATGTAGGAAATTATGTTAAAATTATGATAGTGTCAGTATGTAAAGACGATCTTAAAAACAGAAGTTGTGCCCTGGTTGCTGATTTCGTAATAAATATAAGCGACAAAACCTTTTCCATATTTTTCAGAAACCTTTGCTTAAATCAGAGTCTATTGCACGACTCCACTGAGTGAGTGAGTGAGTATGGTTTTACGCCGCTTTTAGCAATATTCCAGCAATATCACG